GATTTTTATTGCTGTAGAAAGTTACACCTTTTGATAAAAAGTTCAAAAACTTGCAACCAAAGCTACCCTTACAACTGGGATAATATTAAACACCCACCCAAAATTTTTTCATTGTAAATTGCTTCAAAAGTCAACTTTTCGGAAATGTCTCCTTATTGGGTGTAAGAGGAAAATATTGTGCAAAATTATGTTTGAGAATATTTGAAATTTTTTTTATAAATTATATCTATACTAAGCATTTGTTAAATAATTAGATTACCGTNCATTGATAGTATAGGAAGTTTCCCTTCTTCACGCGAAGCTTATAAGTTCTTTGGCTTAACTCACGCTGTTCCAAAAATCTTTTAAAAAAAGTTTGCCTCATCGTTTCCTTGGAGATAAGAGTTTCAAAAACAGCGTCAATCAGAGAAATTCTGGTTTCATCCATTTTTTCAGGAGAAGAGAACAACTTAGATTTGCATTTGGTTTTCTGATAGAACACAAATGTTAATAAATAAATAAAAAAATATGTCTTAAACATTTTAAAGGCCGAGAAAGTTTGCGACCATAGTCTTCTGCTTGCAGGGTTAATTATCTTCAATCCTGCTTGTTCTTTGTTCATCAAAAATGGTTAAGTCATGAGTAGAAATAACATCAATCAACATCTTCCTGACTGCTACTTTGACACTCAGTGGCATGAAGTGAGAGGTGAACGGAGTAATCCCAATTTTCTTATAGCTCACCGGGTAACATTGCTCAACTAAAAAAATTCGCTTTTATATATGCTCTTATTTTAAAAAGTTGCTCTTATAATAGAGTATAAACTCCTTGGATATTTCAATGAAATATAATACTAAGAGACGATTCCACTTTTTCTGACCTAACTACCCTACGGCGCCCTCTCGCAACAATTAACGGAATCAATTGGTTGACTCAGTAGATGTGAATAGTTTACGCTGTACTGTATATTATGTCGTGTCTCTGTCATAATTTTGTTTACCTCTGTACGATTATATTTGTATAGCAAGAATGAATGAATAATAATCCTTCGTGATTTTTTGTTTGAAGTTGAGTTTTTATGCTTCATTCCAATAAAAATTATTGAATTAAGATTTGATTACGTGGATTTATGTTAGCATTACAAATTTTTTATAATACTGTCCATTTATGTAGAAACATAAAATTTTCCAATTAACTTCAAATCTTTGATTTTACATTTTAGTTCTTTAATACGAAACAAGCATTTCTGTAATATTTTTATTAATTGTTAGTTATTTCAATCTCCCATATAATTAATTCTACTATTAACAGCGAAAATAAAAAAATCTACATACATTACACTTTCGGCAATTTATTCTTTAGTTTAAAAGAAGTATTGGTACATGTTATTTATATAAATATGTTATTTTATTCAACATTCAAATGAATTTAAGAACAAAAAAATGGAACAAAATTAAAATATTAAAAAAAAAATAATTTGCAATTTACTTTCCAAATTTGTCTTTATTAACAAACATTCTCAACGAATTACCATCTAAGCATTTTATAGAGTTAAAATAAAACAAATGACCAGACGATTATAAAGAGCTTTATAAATTCAATTAAAAATAATAAAAGAAAAAGATTAAATTCATTAAACTAACTAATAGTTAAGCTATTCGCCTTAACGTTGCGCTAAAACAGTTTGGACCAGACTGTTACCTTTTCGCCGCGCATCGATAAATATCGTCTTTTTGCATGCTTTAGCATTGGAGTGGAAACTATATATTTATCTATGGATATTTCTTTGTGTCCAATTTTCAATGAAAATTGAAAAACCTAATTGAAGCTCACAGAGCTCTTTTTTTAAGTGCTAAAATTAAAACATGCGCTAGATACGCACAGACTAACAGACGATATGAAGAATCGAATAAATACTATGATTAAGAGTCTCAGGTAATTTTAAACATAAATATGCTTATCCTTCCAAATGGTTTTCCAATTTCAGGACGTTTAAATTAATTTAACTCTAATACGAAAACTTTTTGTAGCCAAATATTAGTCATAATATTCTAACATCGTTTCTTAAACACAAATATTTAATTCTCAACAGTATATTATTGTTCCTCAAATGAAAATATCATAAAATTTAAAAAAATAATTCAAATATATGAAGGCCAGATGTTTGGAGCCAACAGCACTAAACGTACCTAAATTGTAAGTTTTTGTCATAAATTATACGTCATTATTTTAATATAGTCTTGTCATAAATTATATTATATTTCATAATTTATATGTACAGTTCAGTGTAATAAAAAGAGATGGACTATCCTGAATAACTTTTGGTCTAACAATCGGATCTTCACGTTCTAGGTCTCAATCTTAATGGCTCGAGGGTATGGCTTCAAATATGCTAATTAATAAATGTAAACGATATTTTAAGTTCCAAAATCGGACACACCTATACANTTCGATTTAGTAGGAACAACATATGACGCAATGCTAAACGAATGGAATTTAGTTGTTGTTTATTTAGTTATTGTTATTAGTAGTTGTTGTTATTTGTTTTAGTTGTTGTTGTTTATTTAGTTGTATTTAGTTTCTATAACTTTTCTTTATAATGCAATAAAATCTGGCTAGCAGCTATTTAAACGATCGAACACTTCGTTTGTTTATTTGTGGCTTGAAATTAGGCTCGCAGAAAATGCCGTTCATGGGTTAAATTTAGTAGGAACAACACAACCTGTGACGTAGGCTATATTATATCCAATTAAAAAATTTTATATATCTGTAGCACATTTCTTATATTTTATAACACGTGGAAAAATTAACAAATCGGAAAAGTTTTTTTTTCACGGGGAAATGAATTTTACTCAAATTTTTATAGTTTTAATGAATTTTCATCTTTTAATATAAATTACTTTTGTTAAATAAATATTTACTACTTTAAAATAAATTATAATCCTGCTAAATTTCTGTACTGGAAAAAATTTAAAAGCAAAATCGAATCCGATTATAATTAATTAAAATATGAGTGCATTGGGTGAAAGTCAAATGATCTGCACCCGTTCTTCAATCGCTCTTGACGGTAGCTTTCCTGCATTACACCTTCATCGCCCAAGTTGGGCGAAAGATCCTTACGATTTAGCATTGATAGTATAGGAAGTTTCCCTTCTTCACGCGAAGCTTATAAGTTCTTTGGCTTAACTCACGCTGTTCCAAAAATCTTTTAAAAAAAGTTTGCCTCATCGTTTCCTTGGAGATAAGAGTTTCAAAAACAGCGTCAATCAGAGAAATTCTGGTTTCATCCATTTCTTCAGGAGAAGAGAACAACTTAGATTTGCATTTGGTTCTCTGATAGAACACAAATGTTAATAAATAAATAAATAAAATGTCCTAAACATTTTAAAGGACGAGAAAGTTTGCAACCATAGTCTCCTGCTTGCAGGGTCTTATTTCAATCTCCCATATAATAAATTAATCCCATATAATAATAATCCCATATAACAGCGAAAATAAAAAAAATCTATATACATTACACTTTCGGCAATTCATTCTTTAGTTTAAAAGAAGTATTCGTACATGTTATTTATATAAATATGTTATTTTATTCAGCATTCAAATGAATTTAAGAACAAAAAAAATGGAACAAAATTAAAATATTAAAATTTTAAAAAAAATTGCAATTTACTTCGCAAATTTGTCTTTATTAACAAACATTATCAACGAATTACCATCTAAGCATAAAAACAAATGGCCAGACGATTATGAAGAGCCTTATAAATTCAATTAAAAATAATAAAAGAAAAAGATTAAATTCATTAATCTAATTAATAGTTAAGCTTTTTGCCTTAACGTTGCCCTAAAACTGTTTGGACCAGACTGTTACCCTTTCGGCGCACATCGATAAATATAGTCTTTTTACATGCTTTAGCATTGGAGTGGAAACTATATATTTATCTGTGGATATTTCTTTGTGTCCAATTTTCAATGAAAATTGAAAAACCTAATTGAAGCTCACAGAGCTCTTTTTTTAAGTGCTAAAATTAAAACATGCGCTAGATACGCACAGACTAACAGAAGATATGAAGAATCGAATATATATTATGATTAAAATGAAGAATAGAATAAATACTATGATTACGAGTCTCGGGTAATTTTAAACATGAATATGCTTATCCTTCTTAATGATTTTTCAATTTCAAGACGTTTAAATTAATTTAACTCAAATACGAAAACTTTTTGTAGCCAAATATTAGTCATTATGTTTTAATATCGTTTTTTAAACACAAATAATTAATTCTCAACAGTATATTATTGTTCCTCAAATGAAAATATCATAAAATTTAAAAAAATAATTCAAATATATGAAGGCAAGTTGCTTGGAGCCAACAGCACTAAACGTACCTAAATTATAAGTTTTTGTCATAAATTATACGTCATAATTATAATAAGTCTTGTCATAAATTATATTATATTTCATAATTTATACGTACATTTCAGTGTGATAAAAAGCGATGGACTATCCTGAATAACTTTTGATCTAACAATCGGATCTTCACGTTCTAGGTCTCAATCTTAATGGTTCAAAGAGATGACTTCAAATATGCCAATTAATAAATGTAAACGATATTTTAAGTTACTAAATCGGACACACCTAGACACACTTTCTCTCAATAAACTAAACCTTTATTTCAACGGATTCAGATCTCTGATCCCTAGAATAAATGTGGTATATATATATATGTATATATATTATACAATTGTATTATTAAAATGCTTGACACCAAATCTCTTCTAATGTTAAATGAAATCTATCAAAACTAAAAAGTAGAAAATAATGTTTCTTTCAGTTTTTCTTGTGAAAGTGATGAAACATTGTAAAATATAATATCAGTAAACAAATGAATTCAATTATGTTAAGAGCACAACTGATTAGTCATATCAGTGACTAAGATAGTGGAGATAGAAAAAATTGAGAAGAACGAATAACAGCTTTGAACAGGATACACGTGATAACAAGAAAGAATATAAAGCAAATATGCGAGATAAAAATAATAATAATAAATGATGTGATATAAGCAGTACCTCACCTTTTTGCTCCTTATAATAAAGTTTTTTCTTTCAAGTGAAACTTTCTGACTGAATTCAAAGAGCTGTAATATGTTTCCTTGCTAACTGAATTCAAAGATCTATATTATGTCTAGCGTTAAAAGAGATGAATTTCGGTTTACTTGGGTAATTGAAAACTTTTCGTTTTGTAGCTATGATGTAAAGCATGCGTTACGTAGTCCCCTATTTATTGTAGAATATTTAGGTGAAAGTAATTGGTATTTGACGTTGTATCCAAGAGGAGAGAACAAAAATAAAATCAAATTCATATCGTGTTTCTTGTGCAAATGGGACAATCGAAAATGTGAAAAATGTTGTTTTCCGTTCGAGTTCAGAATTGAAATAATTGGTGCAAGTGGCAAAAAGCTTAGGACTTTTGGAGGAAATTATAAACCGCCAGATGAGATTTTTGAATGGGGAAGCTCTGAATTTCTAGAAATCGAACAAATAAAAAAAGATGTTGAACTGAGCGCTGAAGATACACTGACAATATGTTGTTACTTGTACCGACCCAATTTCATTGGAAAAATTCCGACTGGTCGCTTTGCAAGAACGAAAATTGCTGTTGATCGAGTATCTTTTAAAATGAATGCTTTTGTTTATGGATTTATAAATGTGCGAAAAACTGTTGATCTTCCAGAAGGAAATAGTTTCGAATGTGTCATCAATAGAACTATCAGTTCTTTTAAAATTAATATTATTAAAGTAGCGTCCAACGACGAAAAATGCCATTTCGTTGAGTGCAAGATCTCATTGATTTATGCTGACGTCATCTGCACCCAAAAGGCATCACATTTCTTTAACTCAAAAGATCTCCCAGATACCTGGTCATTTCCTGCAGACGCCATCTTTGATGTTTTACGAGATTACAAGGATTTTTACCTGTGTTTTTTCTGGGAGTTTTCTTGTTCAAATGGAATAGAACTTACTTCACTTACAAGTGGAATACAATCCAGTATTTCGACCACCTATGGCCGACCTTCGAATTATTCCACTTTACAAAATGACATGCGATGCATGTATACGAAGAATAAATTTTATGATGTCAAATTGAGAGCGGAAAATCGTATTATAGAAGCGCATAAATATATTTTATCTGCTAGATCAACTGTGTTTTCTTCAATGCTTGATAACACAGAAAGTCCCGTAGATATTGTTGATATCGATTTCAATGCTCTGCAGCTACTTATAGAATTTTTATATACTGATAACGTAAGTGATATGGATTTCGAAAGTGCTAAGGTTCTCTTGATAGCCGCTGAAAAGTATAAAGTGGTGTCGCTCATACACATGTGTGCTTCATTTATTTATTCCAAAATTTCAGTGAAAAATGCGTGTGAAATATTAGCTCTAGCTGATGCAGCTTGTCATGAAGATTTAAAGTCAGCTTCAATAGAGTTCATAGTCACTAATTCCACAATTATTTTAAGGTTACCACGGTGGCCGTCATGGATGAAAAATAACATGAAATTGGCGACTGAAATTTTGACTAATTTAACGTCGAATTTTTCCACCTTAAAAACTGCTGAGGCGGGTAAGTACATTATTCTCTTAAAAGCTTACGTACGAAGTACGAAGCTATTCTCTTATAAGCTTAAAATTTTATGTGGTTTGTTATGGGAAGTCACTTTTTATCACGTTTAATGTAATGCCAACTAATTAATTTATTTTTATCGTTAACTTCATTTTTTAAAATTTATTATCGGCATTGAATAGTTTATATAAGCAATGGATTTGAAAATATAATGTTTACTTTCATAAACCTGTATTTTTTGAACCCAACTCGGAAAAGAAGGGAACTTGTAAATCAAGTAACGAAACTAACTCCTCAACTACGCGTCTTTAAGCATATGGTCTTAGAGACATAACTAAAATCCTTAACCATCATATGAGGACTAGAAACAAAAAACGACCCCCCAAGTCCAAAATAGAAAATTTTTCAGGAGAGCCGAAAAATGAAAAACTGATCTAAATTTCCCTCCTTGCCCCTGTTTCGTAACTAAAAACATTTTACATTAACCTAACTTCCTTAGGATTAGGTATTCAATACTCTCGTAATATCATTTTTAATTTTATAACCGACATTGAACCAATTTTTTTTGTGATTACGGCTCTAAATCTTCAACTACACAGCCTTGTGATTTCGGTCCCAATCAAGAAGACAAGGGTATTCCTTGATCGAGAATTGGGAGAAACTTGCCTTAGTGGAAGATGGAACTAACCCGCATTTGCACTACATGGAGAGATAAACCACATAAACCTCCAACAGTTAGCCTGACTGCAAAAGTACTCTAACCCATGATTCGTTTACCAGTAAAAATATTTTACTTCAGCATTTTGATCGGTGTAAGCGGGGAGCGGAATTTGAACTCGGGTCACCTCATTTCAAGATCACCTCATTAATCCGGGTCCACAGCTCTATCCCTGTACCACCGCGGCTCTTATTAATATTGGCATTTTTGCAATAAATTATTCGTTATTTTTATTCGTGTTTTTATCTTTCATAAACAAAATACACGGAGCGCTAATGGCACTTTGAGCGTTCTCCACTTAACTGTGCATGGCACATTCAGCCAGTGTGATCTTTCGACAAATAACCAGAGTTCAGTTAAGGCACTCTCCACTACTTGGTCTTAGGGCATTTTTCCACAAGAAAATTCGATTTTTTTTTTTTTATACTCAGGTCGTTTTCCATTTCTAGTCCTCATACAATACAGCAGGTCTCCCTAAAATAAAGCAATCTAGATTTCGTGCCATAACTGAATGCAAAGAGACACCAATGTGAATCAAGCATGTTTGCTAAGAATAATGTGAAATAAGCATGTATCTGAACACATATTAACGAAGAATAAGCCTGCATTATCTAGACTAGAAAAAAAAATGTAAACGAAAATAAAGCCACTTCTTATAGTGAAAATTATCCACCATATTTACATAACTTGAAATATACAATAGTGCTTACCCTTTTACAAATACCTGGAGGACAGTATATTATGGCATAACGGGATGGTGGTCTTTAATTCCTACATTGATTGAGTTTGCTTTTTTTGTTCTTATACAGCCATACTGAAAGTAACAGCACATTGTATTAGGAATATAGATCATGGGAATAAACTGACCATTTCATGACATGCAACCTACTGTCCACAGCCCATACCCGTGAACATTTTAGAGTATGGATTGAGGTTTTGTTTTGCGGAAAATCCAACTCGGTCCACCAATTTATTCACTCTATAATGGCAGTTAATCAGTTTCCAAAGTTATTGGGTAATTTTTTAGCCATCTTGCGGTCTGGGAAAAAGACTACAGTTATAAACATAGCCTAGCTTCTCAACTTCTTCAGCAAAACTGAATATATCAAATAATAGTTTCATAATTGAAGGCTGATATCATTGAAAGCTAGCATTAAAAAATTTTACGCTTTTCGATTTCACAATGGTACATCTGCATCTACACCGGTTTTCCACCAATCATATCCTGGGCTGTCTTGGTCTTCTCTGGGAAGACATCTACTCTACTCCTCTTTCGGTCTTCGATTTCATACAGGTCAACGGGCTCATAGATCTGGTCAGACTTCATCAGCCAGATGAGGATAAGCAACAACAACAATATCTGCATCAGTAGGATAAAAGACAAGAATGGTAATAATAGAGAAGATTAAAATCAATCAGAAATTACGGCATACTGAAAGAAATTAATATGCAGTTAAACGAGATAAAAGTTAATGATATCCAAGCATGAAAAAAATATGGTACATCATTTAGATGGTACCCCTTTACTGTGAGTGTGTTGGGAATTATTAATTTTTTTCTTCTTTTTTTAAGCTGTATATTTATCTCTTTTAGTATGACGTAAATTTTGTCGGATTTTAATCATCTCTGTTTTTACCATTCCTGACTTTTATCCTACTGATGCAGATGGACCATTAAAATATCGAAACGAGTATAGGTTTTTCATGAATTTTCACTGTTCGTAATTTTAAAACATTTTTAATGAAATGTAGTAATTAATAGTGTCTAGATATTTAAGAATAAAAATAGAAGTATATAGTTTTTAATAGGACGGTTACTTTATTACAACGGTAACAAATATAACAAGAATCGATAAGTTAAATTGCTGCATGAATAAGTTTTAGAAAGAACAATTTAGTATTTGATGCTTGTCTGAAAAAGTAACTAAAAAGTAACTTCTGCGAGCTGCAAAGCAACCCACCTGGCATTTTTTATTTAAAGTTGAACAGTTTTATTCAATGTTCTTTTTTTTATTTCATCATACTTCCCTTACGTTATCTTTTCTATACTGCTTTGTAAAGTTTCTAAATCTTATGGTTTTTAGGCAACAAAACAAAAAAAAAAGGTTACGTAATACTAAAAATTGAGAACAATTCGCAAAAAAACACTAGCTAATAACTTTCTAATAACTAGCTAATAACTAACTTGGAATAACTTTCGAACGAATTCGAATAATAAGACCTAGAATTTAAATATTAAAACCTCATGTTTAACTTAAGTCCTAAAACATAGCTCTTAAGTACTAACACTCCTAAGCTTCTTGTCTTCAAGCTCATATGTCTTAACTTTTTACTTGGCAAAACATGTAACGTTAAGTTTAACACCAAAAATAACGGCGATGTCGAGTTTAATTTTACCTAAAAAGAGATTACTTAAGCGATTGTGAATTTACGGTTTGTATAATTAGTTGCAAAAATATTTTATTTAAAACTTTTAGTTTTTATAATTTTTAAAAACAATGACGAAATGCTGGTACCATGATGGAAATATGTAGTTTTTGCGCTGCTCACTTTTGAGGAAATGTAAGAGTTCTTAAATTATTTCAGTTATGTTGATTCTGAAACTACACTGGTTATCATAAATTAAGGAAAATTCACAAAAATCGCGATAACTCAAGAAATTACACATGGAATTTTATGANTATTAATGTTGTCAAATATTTGGGTATATTTCAAACCGGTTCGCAAAGCCAAAGTTAAACTTAATAGTAACCCTTAGTGAACAGGCTTACTCCTTACTAAAATTTTATCTGATCACCTCAACTCTAGTTATCCAGATTTTTTTAAAGCTCTGCCATCACATGAAATGCTTTTTTTTTTTAAAAAAATAAATAACATGCTATTTTTATAAAAAATGAGAGTTTGCAACAGTCACTAATAATTGTTAGGGCAAGTTTAGCCTATCTTTAGCCAGTGCTCTCTATATTTATTCTAAAAATGGCGCAAAACGGTCAATATAGAGAAAAGCCACAGTTTCGAGAATAAAAAATTAGTCTAATTTTTTTTAATATTTAAAAATTTACTCCGATGCTGTATTATCGGAGCTAGTAAGAATTCGAAAAAAATTCAATTATCTAAGGCATTGATATAAGTAAAACAAATCTCACCAAATTGGCGAATTTTAAAAAAGTTATTTGTCCGTTCTAAAGTCCAGATAATTCTTCACCGCAAGATGGCATGTTTAGCTTAAAATTATAGCATATTTGCTTAGAGTCTTAAGGCACTTAAATTTTGGCTTTTTTTTAATTTTCCTTGGATCAAGAACTTCGAAAAACCGCATTAAGAAACCTGTTCTAGTGAGTTGGAAACAAAAGAATGAGAGCAATTTTTCTCAATTGTTGTAAAGATCACAATGATTTTTCTGTTCTTTTGGAATGTTTTCTTGTAAAAAAAAGACCAGTCATTTATCTATGCGTTAAACTATATTAAGATTTGATATTAAGCATTATTAACAGAATTGATATATCAATCTGAATTTCGATGTTTTACAGAACGTTATTAATTCTTTGGAGAATAGTTTAATTATTTTTAAATAAAACAATATTTGTTTAAAATTCTTCTTACTACTTTAAATGTTTTGATAAGTATAATGATAAATTACTAACGATAATCATAAACCTGATATGTATAATGATAAATCAATATAATAGATAAATCATTATAATAGATAAATAAAGATGCATTCGTGATTCTAACTCATTAATATATATTATTTATAATTGAAATTTTAAACTTTCTAGGAATTTTTTCAAACTAAATAGTAATATACTAATAGCTTTTAAACATTATGAATCATATTTTATATTTGAAAAAAAATACAGAAATTCGTGAATTGCCTTTTTCCAGGTATAACTAGAAGTATTTACTAAGTCTAACAGAGTTTCAACCATTGTTAACCTCATACGTAACAGTTAAGACTGTTTTTTGAAGGCTCCATCGTAACATGAAATAATGCTTTTTTGCGAATTATATACTATTTTTATAACTGCTGTGAGTACACAACTGTTACTCATGACTGTTAGGTCAAGTTCAGCCTATCTAAAGCCAGCGCTGTCAACACTCATTTTGAAAAATGGCACAAAACTTCCATATGGGGAAAGCCACAGTTTTGTGAAAATAAAAAACGTTTATGGTCTAATTTTTAAAAAATTACTCACATTACCTGGACTCATAAAAATTTGAAAAAACTGAGAATAAGGCGGTGATTTTGATAATTTTCATCCAGGTGGCAATTTTCATCCAGGTGGTTCCTATTGTCGCCAAATTGGCGATTTTTAAAAAAGTTAAATAACTTTTAAAATATTTAAGTTATTTCTCCTTTCTAAAGCCCAAATAATTCTTCACGTCAAGATAAAAATCATCTCTCTGCTTCAAGTGTAATGCCTTTAAATTTTCTTGGCAACAGAACTTCGAAAAATATCGTTAAATGACTGATCTAGTTCATCTTTGGCAAACCGAACCATACCTTAATTAGTTTAGTTTTTATGAGTTGACAAAGTGACTATGGGTCAAAACTCTAATGTTTTCCCAAATGGCTTTATAAATTGCTTATAGAATTCATGATTTTAAATTTCATTTTAAACAAGTTCTTAATTTAAAATCTTTACAATTACAGCTATTGAACAGCAGTTAATGATTAAAGCAACTACTCCAGCCACGGAACCTTCCACTTCTGCCCACGAAAACCAAAGTCCATCCACTTCACATATGCGTGGAAATCAAAATGCATCTTCGTTGGGTCACATTTCATCTTCATCCAGGCGCAAATCTGAAACTTTTAATCACCCCGAGGGTGATGCGGGCAAATGCCCACCTAATAGAAGAAAATAGAAGATTTGACAAGACAACAGAATATATCAGTGCTCCTATTGTAGAGAGTTTGTTCTAAAGAAGTATTTAAGCGATATTACAAATAGTTGTATAATTTTTTGCGAGCTTTTTGATTCGCTTTGATATTTCAATAGATATGAGCCATTATATTTGATAGTGTAATAAATCCAGTTTTGGAAAAAATGAGTTTATAGCAATTTTAGTAAGCTATAGAAATCCTCTTTCTATAGTTATAATCATACATTCAATGAAACGCGATTTGTTAAAATAATCAAATAAATTTTAGCTAAAAATAATATCACACTTCTAATAACCAAAGTTAAAATAACATTCTATTTGCTTTCTTGCATTACAATTTACTTTGGAAATAACAGTTTGTTAGAGTGACCATCGCCAATAGAGTATCCATCAACAACGCTAATTCAAAATATGAATTGACCTTTCGCGCCAATTCATATTTCGAATTATCTTATCTAATTTTATTTACTTTTTATTCTTTCACAAATTCTTTTTGATTTGTGTTTCCTATACCAATCAATTGCATGCATAAGTATATTTCAAGTAATATTGTTATCTAAGCAAATCTTAACTAAAATCTCAATAAGATCATTATTTTACAACTTTATAAAACTACACTGAAGAGCCAAAAAAACTGGTACAGGCATGAGTATGCAAATAAAGGGGTATGGAGCCAATCAAAGTACAGCGATGCGATCGGCAACGCGTATATCGACGACAACGAGTAGCACAGTTCTAACGGTAACTGCTGCTACAATACCAGGTTATACAGATTTAAGTGAGTTTGAACGTGGTGTTATAGTCGGCGCACGGGAGATGGGACATAGCATCTCCGAGATAGCAATGAAATTTGAATTTTAACGTCAGACCATTTCACGAGTATACCGCGAGTATTGGAAATCTAGTAAAACATCAAATCTACGACATCGCTGCGATATTTGGGATGCCTTGCAACATAATGTTCAGAAGATATTCCCATCCCCTCTTACACCCACTGGTTTCTGCAGGGTTTCACAGCCCTGCAGGATTCATGGTGTCAATTATCTCCAGTACTACTTCACACAATGATCGAATTCATGCCACATCGTGTTGCGGCACTTCTGCGTGCTCGCGGGGGCCCTGCACGATATTATGCAGGTATACCAATTTTTTTGGCTCTTCAGTGTATCAAAACCATGACGACAGGAAAGTACTGCAATATAAGTTTGCTATTTTAAACACTACCTGCTTATCAAGATCGCCATTATCTTTATGGGAATTATCTGGAATTATCTTTAAATAAAGAAAATTGAGTGCAGAAAATTGAATTTTTAAGTTAAATTGAATGCAAAATATGTTTTGATTCGCATTTTCAAAATCAAATACGCAATAAGTAAAATTAACATTAAGGGATTAAAACTTAGCACCTCTTTCCCAAACAAAGAATTGGGTATTTGCACTTCGAGAAGAAGAAGAAAACATATCCACACATGTGACCAATGACGTCAATAAACAAGATGGCGTGTCAAAGTTGAGCTAAGTTTTTTCACATAAGAATGTTAAATAACGTGAAGTTAATTAAATACAACACAGTATTGCACATTGAGTTTGTTGAAATGTAATTATTTCTTAGATTTATTATTTGTTTATGTATTATATTGCAACCCGCGATATATTTTTGTTTTGTGTACCTGGAAACTTCGATGTATAATTAGTTTGTTTATCTTCGACATGGTTTCATGCCTGTCTTTTATAAGAAATATAGGGTGAAAGAATTGAAATCATTATTAAAAATATCTTTGTGAAGGATAATAGAAAGTATGACGTAAAAGAATTGATACTTGACAAGGTAAGGTAACTCAAAAGAAAATGGAAAGAACAGTTGCTAACGTAAGTAAATCCACGTATTAACAACCAATCAGACTCGAAATACCCACACTACGTCACTTACAGGTATCCCATAGGAACCGACCATATTTCCTTCAGACTGCGACTAANCTGCGACTAAACACCCCCCCCCCCAATATTTTAAAAGAAAATCTAAAAATCCTTCTTAAGAAGGTATCTTCATTCAGTGAAAGTAGGTTCTCTGTCTAATTTTTTAATTTTAACAAATTAATTTTAACAAATTAATCGTCTTTTCACAAATTAATTTTATTTTATTTTTCCTTAGAACCGTCCTTGAACAGCTGACCCAATTTTGGGTTTACGACTACTAATGCTCAACTCCGTAGCCTTGTAATTTTGTATAAAATACACAAGACAATGGGAACTCCTAGATTAAGTTTTCATGGAACTAACTTTTTGATGGAGCTAATCCCATGGTTGGCCTAACGACAATGGGACTCTAGACCTTAATCCATCTACCATTAAGGATATTTTACGTCTGCACTGTGGTCGGTGCGAGTCAGGTGCGGAATCCGTATCAATCAGCCATCACTGGGATTCTAACCCAGTGGGTGCAAGTTTGAAAAAAGGCCAAGACTGAAATTTTTTTTAACTGAAATACCTAACATACACGTGAGAATCCAAACGTTAGATCATACGTTATTCACAGTGATCTTTTTTTTTTCTTTCTTAATTCTTTTTTTTGGGGGGGGGCGCTGTACAGTGTCTGCTTTTAACCCTTTGGCTACTAACGGGACTCATTTGTCCCAACAAATGTTTAAAAATTACTAATGGGGGGAATAGCACTTAGAAACTCATTCTAATATGTCCCAATCGTAGAGTCGAACCAAGTATACGTGTTTCATGTGTTAAATATCCCCTAGATTGGATATCATCCTAGATGGCGCTAAAGAATTTCGTGCATGAAATAGCACTGTGATTTTGTGCTGGGACAGATATATCCCACTAGTATTCTTCATTGGGACAAATATATCCCACTAGTATTCTTCATTGGGACAAATATATCCCACTCGTATTTTTCATTGGGATTGTTATGTTCATTTATATTTCATTCATATTTTCTCGAATGAACATAGAAAAAAAAAACAAATATGAGTTGTACTATGTGTAATGTCGGGTTAAGCAAAGATTGCTTCACCCTGAATCATACCATGTAAAAAAAAAAGTCTATATAATAAATTTTTCCGGAATGATAGATGTGCTTGTAGTATGTCGATCACTACAGGTGGGACATATGTATCCCACCATTAAGTACGGCCGTGACATATATGTCCCAGGCTCTAAATTGATAACTGCTTGTCAGAAAAATCTCAAATACTAAATTTGCCTTATTTGTAACCTATTTTGACCTTTTGAATAATAAACGGGACAAAAAAAAATCATTTTTTTTAAAATTCGTAGTCAAAGGGTTAAATCTTTTAAAATATATATTTATTATTGTTAGAAATTGATAAGAACTGATTTAAACAATGCTGAAAAATGTTTTTAACGTACATTAAGCAAAAACATATACCTAAAAACGACAGATATATAAAACTAATAACTTTTCAAAGCATGCTTATTGCAGAATCGTATGGGTATAATTTTGTCAGAAATCTTCGTATCTTACATTCTAATATAATCCCCACCTTCACTTTATATTTTTCAAGTTTCAAAAAAATAATGTCGAGAATAAAAAGTGTACTTGGGAAAAATTAATATGAAAAAAATATTTAATATTTCTCTTCAGTGCTTCTCTCTACACGCCATTCGAGTTAGGTCTCGGCGTGAGGGAGAGCTTCGAAAAACAAAATCACTGATTCATAATCGCACATAATACAGGATCTTACATTCTAAGCTATTTTTTAATGCTTTTCATTTAATAACAGATAATTTTCATTAACGTGATACTATTATAGTAAATATAAATATAACAATAAGTATATAAATAGGTCAACTTTTGTAATCCAATTAAAGTAATTTTTTTTCTTTATACGATACATTTAAGGAACTTTTTCTATACGGACATTTGTGTACATATATTTTTTTTCGCTCATTAAAAAAACTATTTTCACTCATTAAACACAGTTTGAAAATAATTGTTAATATTTACAAAATGTGTTTAATGAGTATATTGTATATTATTTTTACATATACACTTATTGAAATATTTTTTTTTGTATTTTATCATTTTTTTGCTGTAGATTTATTTTTTCAGTTTAATTTGCGTTATAACGTCAAATTTTGAGCAGTCAAATTTTTTTTAAATTTTAATTTCAAGTGACAAATTTTTCAAAAAAAATATTGTTATTATTACTTTTTTTAGAAAAGTAGAAGATTAAATAAAAAATATTATTTTAGCAGTTTCGCTAAAAAAAAGAACGTTAGAATCACCAATATAACATAGACAAAATTCGCCATGTCATTTAAAAGTTAGCAAATGCTTATTTTAGCCTCATGAGCATCAATGAATCATTCCCTTGCATGAGTTTCAGTTTATTGTTTCAAGAAAATATTTTTAACTGTTCGCCTACTTGTTAAAAAAATTTCTTTTTGAAGCCTTTGTATCTTAAGAAAATAATGATACACAATGGCGCTTTCTGTATAACTGAAAAATATTAAGTAAAATAATAATTAAAATCTAAGCATTTAAATGCATGGGTTTCAGTTTATTGTTTCGAGAAAATATTTTTTAACTATTCATCAGCTTGTTAAAAAAATGATTTTGAATGCCTTTATATCTTAATAGAATAATGATAATTAAAAAATATTAAGTAAAAAGATAATTAAAATTAAAGCAATTAAAACAATATAATAAATAATTAAAATAAAAAAATTATAATAAATAATTAAAATGAAAAAATTATAATAAATAATTAAAATAAAAAAATTATAATAAATAATTTTAATAATTATTAAAATAGAAAATAATTAAAATTTAATCAAATTAATTAATCGAAATTTATTTAAGAAACAAGACTGTTTAAAAAGCTGCAAACAACGATATAAAAAGAAAACTTACTTCAATTTTTCCTTGGCTTAAGCTCAAAATCAGTAGCAATGTACGAAAACATTTCAGCCGATAACTCAGTATGCGTTTTCCATAATTCTAGCCATTCACTGGAGTTGGAAATTTCAGTTATATGTTTTGCAATATAATCCAATGCACCTTTCTTAAGTTTTGTCTGGTTCATTTTATCAGCAACAACTATAACATCGCATATATTTTCAATAGAAAGAGCGGGTATTAGATATTCAGCACATGTTTCCTTCAAGGTTAAGACCTGATACTTTTCTGCCGCTAACAGCAACTTTAAAGCACTCCTACCATCTTGAAATATCACATTACCTGTGTAAAGAAACTCCAGAAAAGATTTCATTGTTGCCACTTCTATATCAGTAATATCAACAATACCTGATCTATTTTCGACCATGTCTTGATCGAACATAGCAGAAAACACAGGAGAACGAGCGCATAGGAAAGTTTTATGAGCTGGCAGTCACGTTTTCCGCTCGTAATCTTACATCTGAATATTTCATATGTAAATATATGTTCTTAAATTCCTTGTGTAAAGTTACGATATTATTTATTTCAGTAGTGAAGAAGCTATCCTTAGAGCTTACAGTACTACTTTCCTCGTTACCATTGGCTACAGAAAACTCGCAAAAGAGGGAAAATTTCCCATTTTTCATGTATTGATTATCCTCTAGTTCTAACTGACTCTTAAGAATAAAAGAATAATAGTTCCATGTTCCGTTACCATCATCTAATGAATCGAACAAATGCTTTTCAAAGTGAGACAAAACTTGATCGCCCAGGTGATCCAACAAACATATTTTCCCAGAAATGATTCTTGGAGTTGTGCTTTTTCCCAACTTGAGAATTTTAATTTTAATTTTGTCATCTGGGAACATTACAGTTATTTCGTACTGTGATACTTTAGAAAAAGAAAATTCTCTAGTCACACTATCGTCTAGGCAATCATTCAAATCAACTGTCCAATTAAAGGAACATCTGTCTATTTCAACTTTGGTGACGGCTTCTCCTGTAGTTGGTAGGAAGCTAAATATCCGACATTTAATTGTTACTTGATCCTCTTTCTCGTTTCTGATTTCTAAATTGTCCCATACTAATGCATTTCCTTTACCAACTTCGTATTTAGAACTATCATCTCCTAAAGTTTTAGAGAGAATACCACTTCCGTTTAATATTTCAATTTTACAGGCAATCGATATTACTTTCTCCCCTAAGTCTTCATCACATCTACTTAAAGCACACGATTTAAGTTCCTTGTTTTTTTTACCTGAGGGATAAAATTTTAGACACCATTTACTACCTCCAGAATTGTTGGGAGTGAAAATCGGACTTCTCAGAGCTTCGTCTTGTTTTCGGTAACACATAGAATAATTCTCAATTTTCCACGTGTAGCAATATTCTACTTTAGTTACACCAGCCATATTTCACGTACCAAAACAAACGACACTAAGTTTTGAATGAATATCTTATAACTCAGAAAAAGTATCCGGCTATAGAAAATGCGAACTGAAACTCATAACAGTTACGAATCTATCAATTGTCCCGTTATCTGCTGTTCTCGACTTTAGAAGGGTACAAAGTCAAACAACCATAGCAATAAAAGCTACACGATAGATAAATATGATATAATTTATAAACAGTTTTTAATTTTATTTCAATATGTTAATTTTGTCATTTCGCATTCGTTTTATTTCACTGAAATTATAAAAAAACATTAAATTTATTCAGATATACATTTTACAATAAAATTATGCTTGTAGGATCATCTATAACCTAAAAAAAATTTCTTTATAATATCTGGAGAAAAAAAATCGCAAAAATGTTTCTTTCAATTGTAATTGAAATTTCATAAGAATGTTGATGATACAGCAGAAATTCCTGATGAAGCAGAAATTCCTTTTTGTAGTTTGAATTTTAAAAAAAAAATCTACATTTTTTGCTACAATTCATCATTAAATACTTTAAACCACTTTAAATAATTGCAGTATTAGTAGAAAATGTACTCTTACATATGATTGTTATATTTAGTTTGTATTTCGTTTGACAGAGATGCAGGGGTGATTGTAAGCCTAAGTCAAAATTCCGGAAAATTTCTTGAGTTAAAAAAAAAAACAAAAAACTGTTTAAATTGAAAAAAATTTAAACAAGGTTTTTTTCCTATATTTCTTAGTTTACTTAAAATATATTTAAAATTTTACACATAGCTATGATGACCTGGAGAAGTAATTAAAATTTACAAATATGTCTTTCTTTGTCGAGTTTATGATTATAACAACTATTTACTGATAAAAAATGAATATTAATCATGAATATAAGATTATAAAGTATATCTCTGGCTCTCCCTTACAAACAAATAAAATAAACTGTGTTTTTAAGTTCCACCTTTGAAAATTTGATTTCCGGAAACTTCTGTGATAAATGATATTTTGAAACGTCTGGACCTTCGATCTCCGGAAACTTCCAGATCACTGTTAGCGAAAATTCCGGAAATTCGGATTTTTTCCGGAGCACAATCACCCCTGAAGATGTCCTTCTTGGCCATTTTTTATTTAAAAAGTCTGCAAATTTATGAGCTTAATTAATAATTAAACTTGAGTCTACAGTTACGCTTTATGCTTATAAGTATAAAAATGTAAAAAAATTAAAAGAAAAAATGGTATACTGAGTTGTCCCTTATAAATGGCATGAGTTAGACCAACAGTAAAAATTCTATATTCATTTTTTTTACTTTTGGTCTAAGGTTAGTTGATAATAGGGTAACCAGAGTCTAAAATATGTTAAGAGGTTCAAAAATTATTAATAAAAAGGTGAAATTTTTTTTATTTTAGAAGTTTAGATATTAAGTAAAAGTAAAAAACCAAATAAAATCTGATTCGTATTTTTCCAGTTTATGTGATTACAATAGTTAATTAATAGTTAAAAAGAATAAGATATTAAAAAAAGCTTCTTTCTTGTTATGCATTTTATCGACAAAAATATTATGCACAAACAAAAGTGATCCTATAACTTGTCACAGTAAAATCAGAGTTTTGTATAGCGAAACTATATATTTAAAAAGGAAAATCTCTAAACACTAAACATAATATAAACGTGACATAAAATGCATAACATTTATAATAAATCGCGTAAAACGAGTTAGTAATGACCTAACTAAAAACAGTTTTAAACATTTCCGCAAATTCGAAAATAATTCTTTCTTTTACGAGATCCCTTACATTCTTAGTTCGATCTTGGTGAAACAAAAGTAAGTTTTGAGGTAGGCACTTTATTTACGTCTCACTAGAGCTGCACGGTCGAAAAACATCCCTGAGGATGATCCGAAGACATACCATCGCAATTTTGATCCTCTGCAGAGGAGTCGGCTCCCCTGCTTTGGTATCCCGACGACCTGCGCGAAGTCGAGCACTTTACGGTCGAACAGTTTAACGAGGACCTATACCGCGCACCCTCCGTCGCTACGTAGACTGATCAAAGTGGTCACCCAACCACTTACTAACAGCAGCCAGTGATGCTTGACTTCGTTGTACTGCTGGGAAATGTATTTTTACGATCATTCCACAACGGGAAGTAAGTTTTAAGGCCTTTGTTATGCAGGAAATTAACAATAACTTTAAAAATACCGAAAAATTAAAATAAAAGGAAAATCAATGAAGTAAACCAACCATAAAAGGTTCCACTGAGATAATTTTTTAGAAAAAAAAGTTTAAATGCAGTACTACTTAAAGTATAATACTTGGTGATTGAAGTTATGTACATAATTTTATGATAAAATTACTTGCAATGCAATTGCATGAAAGCTTAAGATTTAAGATTTAAAACACACACTGTATGAAATATATGTGATCATAAAACTTCATTAAAATATATTTGATGATGGTACATTTTGTATCTCTAATTAAATTTATTATTTATTTTTGCGTATAAAAATTATTAGTCTGAAAAGTAAGTAAAGTAAAAATAAGTAGTGCTATTTATTTACTTTATATAAATACTATCAAAAATGTTGTTTGAAAAGTATGTCTAATATTTAATCACAATCTAATATTTAAGAGATGAAAAATATCACAACATTATCTATATCAGCCGAATCTCTACTAAAGAAGGTGACGCTTGAAACTCAAAAACCTCTTTGAATGCCGAGGAAAGCTAGAAGAGTTTTTTTTTTTCTTTTTTTTTGCTATCTTTTTCCTGAAGTATAGCGAACTGTTCTGAAATTCAAGTGAATGAAATGTACATATACCATCGTAAAATTTAGTTCTTTCTCTCTTTTGTGCTTTGCTTTACGTCTATTCTTTGGTTCTACGTGTTTGATTATAATTCTAGATGTTTTTTCAATTAAGTTGTTAAAATGTTATTAGAATTAATGCTTAATTTCGCATTTCTTCTTTTTTAACTTGGACGATTGACTTATCTAAAATGCAGAATTCAATACACGCAACCTATCTCGCCAAATTTTCCTCTTAAAAAGCTTAGACATTAATTTAAAGTGGAATTCCAAACACGTCATGATATTTATAATTCAAATTTATGCTATTACAATATTTAATTAATAATTAAAAAAATAAAATAGTTAAAAAAAATTGTAAAAAAATTTCTCTCTTGTTATACATTTTATTGAGAACAATTAAGATTGAAAGCACTTACAGTATAAAAAAAATATGCTATCCCAAAACTGCATTAAAACAAAGAATTTGTAATATAAAAATTAATAATTTAATTCAAAACAGTTTTGCTAAAATGAGGGTCCGAAATTTTTGCTGCAAAAATGGTTTAAATGCAAATATATTTGATGATGATATGTTTTTTTAACTGCATTAAATTTATTATTTATTCTTCCGAGTAAAATAATAAGTCTGAAGTGTAAATAAAGTAGTGCTTTCTATTTATACTTCTTTCTTTCTTTCTTGGCCTACTTTGTAATTATAGTATAGGGCCCTTACATGAGGAAATAACTGAAATAATATACTTAACATGTTGATAAAACTATTAAACATGGTGATAAAGTTTTTTCAGAATCAACACTTAAAATTTTCCACAATTCTAATATGACACAGACATACATAAATTCAATTTTTATTTTGCATGATATCTACAAATTACAGATAGACTCATCAAAGTAAAGCACTAAAAAAAGAGAGGAAAAATAAAACGTTATTTAAAGGGAAACAAAGTGTTCCGTAATTACTTCTCTTAACAAAATATATTTTTAGGAGAATCATCAAAAATGAAATCAGAAAAATATGAACATGAAGAATCACAAACTAATATTTAAGACATGGGGAAAAAACTTTATCTATATCAACCGAATCTCTACTGCAGAAGGTGTGGCTTGAAACACAAAAACCTATTTGATTGCCTAGAAAAGCTTGAAGACTTTTTCTTACAATCGCCTCTCAATTCCTGTTGCCTGCAACAATCAAATAGAATTTTAAATTTTTAGTCCTGCCTTCCTCATAAGTGATTAAAAACTTCATAAAAACAATCTATAACATTCTTACAATAATATACCATGTCTAATCCATTAGAACAAATAATTCATTTTTACATCAATTAGATAAAAGCAATTCATAATTTTATCAGTTGAATACATACCACTATATCGTCGAAATACAACTACTTACTTACCGGTAATGTTCTTTGGGGGTCATGTTAAAATTAACAGATAACAGAAATGTTTGAAAATATTTCACCAGCTAATTTTACATTATTCTGAATAAAATTCAACCACTCAGGCGTGATGAAAACAATTTCTATTATTTTATTTTATAATCATCCTTGAGCAGCCGACCCAATTTTGGGTTTATGTTCTCTGCCGTAGCCTTGTAATTTTGAATACAGTACAGAAGACAAGGGGAACTCCTAGATCAAGTTTTGATGGAACTAACTTTTCGATAGAGCTAACCGGCATTTGCGTTGCATGGGGAGGAAAACCACGAAAACCTCCCATGTTTAGCCCAACGGCAATGGGACTCTAACCCATGATCTGTTTACCATTTGAAGATATTTTATATCTGCACTGTGGCCGGTGAGAGCCAGGTGCGGAATCCGATTCTAACCCGGTTCATTTTATTGGAAGGCGAACGCTCCATCCTCTAAGCCAGTGTTTCCCAAACTGTGGTACGCGGACCCCCAGGGGTACGGGAACAGTTTAGTGGGGGTACGCGTTCTTATGCGAAATATTTTATAACATACGAAAATTTCAGAACATTTTATTTAAAAACAAAGCTAGTCATGAAAATTTACGATTATGTATTTTTCGATTGGCTATTTATTGCAGAGTTAACAGTTAATAATTAGTGGTGTCAATAGCTAGTTGTGATTTTTAACTTTTGTGCAATCGTTTTTATAGTAAAAAATACATTCATTTTTTTTTTATTTGTGGTACACGGCATTACGAAAAATTTAGACAGGGTACACAAAACTCATAAGTTTGGGAAATACTGCCCTAAGCCATCACGGCTCGCACAAATTAATTAACATATTTCAAGTCACCCCTTTTAATCAGCAATATTATGTCCTTAAGTAAAAAACCGTTATTCAAAGTGCTTTTTTTTTCTTTCTCGTACGTATTGTACAGGGCGAAAAATAAAATAACAATCCATCCTGAATAATTTAACTAAATAACTAGATTTTCATGTTCTAATAACTAGATTTTCATGTTCCAGGACTCAATCTCAATAGTTTGAAGGAGTGATCTGAAATATGTTAATTAGTACAGTCGATATTTTAAGTTACGAAATCAGGCACAAAAATTTACTTTCTCTGAATGAACAAACCTTTTTTTCCCAGACGGATTTCGATTTCTGACGCTCGAAATAGGTTCTAGTTGCAATCAGGGTAATATGGTCCCAATAGTTAGGTCAGGAGAGTGGTCCAAAATTTATACCTCTGAATGATAATCGAACGTGGTGCGAATTTCGCCAAATCTCGAAAATGTTTTAAGCGAATGTAAATTTTTTTTGCATGCAATTGCAAAATTCATTTATCCAAAGACTATATATTGTTATTTTTATTCTAGGAAAAAAAATTGATTTCAGTAAATATTTATTATTTTAACTATTATATTTAATATGTATAAAAGATTTGAATTGTAAGGTACACAATTTTTTAAAATCATTCTAAATATAGTAATTTTACACAGAAAAATACAAAACATTTAGTGAAATCGGTCGAATAGTTCTTGCGAAATCTACTTTTTGATAAAACACTTTGAAAATTCGATTTTCAGGAGCTATACGACCGATTTCGTTCACATTTAATCGTACCTTGCAATTCAAAATATTTTTGACTAATATATTAAATAAAACAATAAAAAAGCATTTAATAAAAGTTATTTTTTGCAAAAAATTATTTTCGGATAAACGAATTTTACAATGGCGTGCAAAATTTTATCAATTCACATAGTTCTCGAGATGCGGCAAAGAACGCAAAAAGTAACATTAAAAGGGCCCAAACTTTGGACAGCTCTACTGAGCAAACTATTAGAACCATATTTCCCAGATGGTAGTAACCCCCAATATTTTGCGAGTCAGAAATCCGAAGTTGTCAAAAAAAATTATGTTTTTTTTCTTCAGAGAACGTGCGTTTTTGCGACTGAAACGTAATTTAAAATATCATCTGCACTAATTAATTTGCATATTATAGGTTGCCTATTGGATCCTTTAAGATGGAAGACATAAGTCCTAGAACGTTAGATCATAAATTATTCATAGAGATCAGTTTTTATTTATTTATTATTATTTTTTTTTAGTCTGCCTTTAAATCTTTCAAAATATAAATTTATTATTGTTTAAATTGATAAAAACTGATTTGAACAATACTGAAAAATGTTTTTAACGCATAGTACCCAAAAACATATAACTAAAAACAATAAATATATCTCTATATAACATAAAAACATATTGGTCTAACACAGTTTTCCATTGTTGTCGGTGCATTTTTATTGACCAGAAAATCACGTGGTAGGATCCAGTTTTCCTTCATTCATTTCCATATTGTTTTGGTTGTCATCAGCATAAAATTAATAAAAGTTATATTGGTATTCTTTTTCTAAAAATGCTTTTGTATCTGTAATTTAAAGTTATTTTCCTGTACTTCTATTATTACGCCTTTAATTCAAGAGTTTAAAACTAGGAAAATTGTTTTTTTCTTATTGTTTTATTACAAAGTAATTCTGCGCTACATTTTAAGTTAAAGTTATTTAGAAAGGTGGTCCAATCTTATAAACTGTTTTACTATTATTATAAGTTATGAGCTAATAACATTAATAAACTGTAATAAGTTACAGTTAAAGATATCTGTTAAATGATTTATAACTCAATGATCAGCTTTATACGCAATGAGATGCAAGTAAAAGTAGTATTTAATATATCCACCCATTTGGCAAGCGAAAATTTTAAATTACATTTGCAAACTCATCAAATTTGTTTCAACAATATATTGTTATAACTATATATTGTTATAACAATTGTTATTTTAAAAAACGATTACTTAGAAAAATTATTTCTGCTTACCATTAGATTTAAATAGGTATTTATAATACTAATAGATAATAATATTTGGACGTAGGAAGTGGAGCCACAAGCGTAAGCAAACAGAATTTCCTTTACTACATACATGTTAAGTGGATAATTTTAACTTTAGTGGAAAAATTGTGTTCTGCCAAGAAACGACAATAATTGCGAAGCAATTTTCGGGGTTGGTGAGCTGCAGCGAAAAGGGGGCGTAGCCCCCTAGTATAACTAATAACTTTTCAAAACATACTTGATGCAGAATCGTATAGGTATAATTTTGTCAGAAATCTTCGAATCTTAAATTTTAATATAACCCCCGCTATTACATTTACTCTACATCTACTTTAAAAAGCTATTCAATATTTTTATTCGGTACTTCTTTCTCTCTACACGCCATTTGAGTTAGGTCTCGGCGTGAGGGAGAAGCTTTTAAAAACAAAATCGCTGTTTTATAATTGCACATAATATAGAATCTTACATATAAAGCTTTTTTTAATTGCTTTCAATTTAATAGCAAATAATTTTCTTTGACAATTACACGTGATACTATCATATTAAATATAAATATATTTATAATAATAAGTATATTAATAGGTTAATATTTGTAATCATATTACAACAATGTTTTTCCTTTATACGATAAATTTAAGAAACATTTTCTCTTCGGACATATGCGCATATTTTTTTTTTCTTTGAAAAACTATTTTCACTCATTAAACACAGCTTGTAAATAGTTATTATTTACAAAATGTGTTTGAAGAGTATATTGTATATTATTTTTACATATATACTTAATGATTATTATATATATATATATTTTTTGTTTTGGTATTTTATCATTCTTTGATGTAGATTCATTTTTCATGTTTAATTTACGTTACAAAGTTAAATTTTGAAGTAATTTTTTTTTTAATTTCAATTTCAAATGACAAATTTTTCAAAAAAAATATTTCTATTATTACGCTTTTTAGAAAAGTAGAAGATTAAATAAAAAAAATCTTTTAAACAGTTTTGTTAAAAAAAAGAACATTAGGATAGCCAACATTAGGACAAAATTCGCCGTGTCATTTAAAAGTTAGCGAATGATTATTTTATCCTCATGAGCTTCAATGAATCTTTTTCTTGCGCGAGTTTCAATTTATTGTTATAAAAAAATATTTTTAACTATTCGCCGACTTGTTAAAAAAATTCTTTTTGAAGCCTTTGTATCTTAATAGAATAATGATACACAGTGGCGATTTCTGTCTAACTGAAAAATATTAAGTAAAAAAAATAATTTAAATTTAAGCAATTAAAATAAAAAAAGATTAAAAAATTTTAATTTTAATTATTTATTAATTTAATTAAATTAATTAATCGAAATTCATTTTTGAAACAATACTGTAATAAAGGCGACAAACAAGAATATAAACAAAAACTTACCTCAATTTTCCCTTGGCTTAAGCTCAAAATGAGTAGCAATGTACGAAAAAATTTCCGCCGATAACTCAGTATGCGTTTTCAATAATTCTAGCCATTCACTCGAATTTGAAATTTCAGTTATATGTTTTGCAATATAATCCAATGCACCTTTCTTAAGTTTTTTCTGGTTTACTTTATCAGCAACAACTATAACATCACATACATCTTCAACAGAAAGAGAGGGTATTAGATATTCAGCACATGTTTCCTTCAAGGATAAAACTTGATACTTTTCGGCCGCCAACAACAACTTTAAAGCACTCCTACCATCTTGAAATATCACATTACCTGTGTAAATAAACTCCAGAAAAGATTTCATTGTTACCACTTCTATATCAGTAATATCAACAATATCTGATCTATTCTCGACCATGTCTTGATCGAACATAACAGAAAACACAGGAGAACGAGCGGATAGGAAAATTTTATGAGCTGGCAGAGTCACATTTTCCGCTTGTAATCCTACATCTGAATATTTCATGTGTAAATACATGTCCTTAAGTTCCTTGTGTAAAGTTACGATATTATTTATTTCAGTAGTGAAGTAGCTATCATCAGAGCCTACGGTACGACTTTCCTCGTTACCGTTGGCTTCAGAAAACTCGCAAAAGAGAGAAAATTTTCCATTTTTCATATATTTATTTTCCTCTAGTTCTAACGCACTCTTAAGAATAAAAGAATGATAGTTCCAAGTTCCGTTACCATCATCTAATGAATCGAACAAATGCTTTTCAAAGTGAGACAAAACTTGATCGCCCAGGTTATTCAACAAGCATATTTTCCCAGAAATGATTCTTGGAGTTTTGCTTTTTCCCAACTTGAGAATTTTAATTTCTATTTTGTCATTTGGGAGCATTACAGTTATTTCGTACTGTGACGCTTTAAAAAAAGAAAATTTTCTAGTCACAGCACCATGGTCTAAGCAATCATTCAAATCAACTCTCCAACTAAAGGAACATCTGTCTATTTCAACCTTGGTGACGGCTTCACCTATAGCTAGTAGGAAGCTAAATATCCGACATTTAATTGTTATATGATCTTCTTTCCCCTTTCCGAAGGTTAATTGGTCCCATCCTATTTCAGTTCCTTTTCTAAATTTGTATTTAGAACTATCATTTCCTAGAGTAGTAGTGAGACTACCAGCTCCATTTAGTATTTCAATTTTATAGGCAATAGATATCTCTTCCACCCCTAAATCTTCATCACTTCTATTTAAAGTACACGCTTTAAATTCCTTTGTTTTTCTACCAGAAGGATAAAATTTCAGATACCATTTACTTCCGCCAGTGTTGTTGGGAGTGAAAATCGGACTCCTCAGAGCTTCCGTATATTTGCGATAACACATAGAATAATTCTCAATTTTCCACGTGTAGCAATATTCTACTTTAGTTACACTAGCCATATTTCACGTACCAAATCAAACGACACTAAGTTCTGAATGAATATCTTATAACTCAGATAAAATATCCGGCTATAGAAAATGCGAACTGAAACTCATAACTGTTATGAATCGATCACGTGTCTCGTTATCTACTTGTTCTTGGCATTGGGTTGAACAACCACCAAGGTCAAACAACGATCTCAATAAAGGCTTAACGATAGATAAATATGATATAATTTAGAAACAGTTTTTAATTTTATTTCAATATGTTAATTTTGTCCTTTCGCATTCGTTTTATTTCACTGAAATTATTTAAAAACATTAAATTTATTCAGATATACATTTTATAATAAAATTATGCTTGTAGGAGCATCTAATAACTTCAAAAAAATTTCTTAATATTATCTGGAAAGAAATCGAAAAAATTTTTCTCCTAATTGTAATTTTATATGAATAGTGATGATACATTTTTATGAAGCAGAAATACCTTTTTGAAGTTTGAATTTTAAAAAAATCTACATTTTTATATAGCTACAATTATCATTAAGTATTTCAAACCACTTTAAATAATTTCAGTATTAGAAAAAATATATAATTACATATGATTGTTATATTTCGTTTGTATTTTGTTGGACAGAGATGTACTTCTTGACCTTTTTTCAATTTAGAAAGTCTGCAAATTTATGAGCATTTACTTAAGTACTTAATTATTAATTAAAGTTGAGTCTACAGTTACACTTCATGTTTATAAGTATAAAAATTTAAAAAATTAAAAGAAAAAATGATATACTGAGTTGTCCCTAATAAATGGCATGACTTAGACCAACAGTAAAAATTCTATATTCATTTTTTTTTTACTTTTGGTCTAAGGTTAGTTGGTAATAGGGTAACTAAAGTCTAAAAATATGTTAAGAGGTAATTCCAAAATTATTAATAAAAAGGTTAAATTTTTTTTATTCATTTTTATTTTAGAAATTTAGATATTATGTAAAAGTGAAAAACCAAGTAAGATCTGATTCTTATTTTTCCAATTTATGTGATTACAATGACTAATTAATAGTTAAAAAGAATAAGATATTAACAAAAGCTTCTTTCTTGTTATGCATTTTATCGACAAAAATATTATGCACAAGCAAAAGTGATCCTATAACTTGTCACAGTCAAATCAGAGTTTTGTATAGTGAAACTATAAATTTAAAAAGGAAAATCTCTAAACACTAAACATAATATAAACATGACATAAAATGCAAAACATTTATAATAAATCGCGTAAAACGAGTTAGTAATGGCTAAACTAAAAACAGTTTTAAGCATTTCTGCAAATTCGAAAATAATTCATTCTATTAAGAGATCCCTCACATTCTTAGTTCGATGCTGGTGAAACAAAAGTAAGTTTCGAGGTAGGTACTTTATTTACGTCGCACTAGGGCTGCACAATGGTGTATTGGTGTCGGTCTGGAAAACATCCCTGAGAATGATCCGAAGACATACCATCACAACTTTGATCCTCTGCAGAGAAGATGGCATCTCCGCTTCGGTATCCTGACGACCTGCGCGCGAAGTTGAGCACCTTACGGTCGAACAGTTTAACGAGGACTGATACCGCGCATTCTCAGTCCCTACGCAGACTGATCAAAGTGGTCACCCAACCACTTACTAACAGCAGCCAGTGATGCTTGACTTCGTTGAACTGCTGAGAAATGTGTTTTTACGATCATTCCACAGCGGGAAGTAAGTTTTAAGGCCTTTGTTATGCAGGAAATTAACAATGACTTTAAAAATACCGAAAAATTAAAATAAAATGAAAATCAATGAAGTAAACCAACCGCAAAAGGTTCCACTGAGATAATTTAAAGAAAAAGTTTAAATGCAGTACAACTTAAAGTATAATACTTGGTGACTGAAGTTACGTACATAATTTTATGATAAAATTACTTGCAATGCAATTGCATGAAAGCTTAAAAGTTATGATTTAAAACACACACTGTATGAAATATATATGACCATAAAACTTCATTAAAACTTAGAATTTAGGGAATAAAAATTAATAACAAAACTTGAAACAGTGTTATTAAAACTACGCTAGTGTTATTAATGCACGCTGTAAATCTGGTTCAAATATATTTGATGATGGTGCATTTTGTATCTGTATTAAATTTATAATTTGTTTTTGCGTGTAAAATTATTAGGCTAAATGAAGTAAATGAAGTAAAAATAAGTAGCGCTATTTACTTTTACTTTATGTATTCTTTTTTTTATTTCCTGGCCCACTATATAATTATTTTACACGGCTCTTATAAAGTAATGATTGAGATATACCTAGCATGTAAAAACTATTAAATATGTTAATAATTTTTTTTTCAGAACACTTTAAATATTACACAATTTTGACATAACACTGACATACATATATGCAATTTTTATTTATCATAATATCTGCAAATTACTGATTGACTCAACATGTCAAAGCACTCAGTAAATCATATTTAAAAGAAAGAAAAGAAAAATATCCTGTTATTTAAAGGGATATTTGAACTTGTAAACAAAGCGTTTCGTAATTACCACTCTTAACAGAATATATTTTTAAGATAGCTATCAAAAATGAAGTCTGAAAATATTAAATCAAAATCTAATATTTGCAGGGTGCGTAGCGTTTTTAAAAAATGCTTAAAGGTGCTTATTTTCAATTTTCGTTCTTTTAAAGCCTATAAAGGAGCCTTTTTTAATGGGGTGTTTTTAATAATGCTTCATTTTCCCTTTTCCAAAATGAGATTTTTCTTTTACTATGTTGATTTTAGCTTCGAATTCTGAAAAAAGACACAGTTCACATTGTTCTGCTCAACGTTTTCACTATTAATTCAACCCCAAACTATTTCAGCATATTATCAGTACGCAGCGTATGAAAACGTCATTCGTTTTACATGATTCAAAATTTTATGACTTTTGACAATCGTTAAAAACAGTGCTAAAAGGGTTTTTTTGACGGTTAAAACAAAATAAAACCGCTAATTCTCAAAAAACTTTCCAACCCTGCCAAATTATAATATATTCTTAAAGTGCTTAAAAACATTTTTTGAGTACTTGAAAATGCTTAAAAGGTGCTTATTTTTTGTTAAATAATTTGGCTACGCACCCTGATTTAAGTGATGAGAAAAATAAAAACATAATCTACATCAGTCAAATCTCTACTGAAGAAGGTGAGGCTTGAAATACAAAAGCTTATTTGATTGCCGAGGAAAGCTTGAAAAGTTTTTTACATTTTATTTTTCATAATCGTCTCTAAATTCCTCCTGCCTGCGACAATCAAATGGAATTTTAATTTTTTTTCCTCAGAAGTCGTTGAAAACTTCATAAAAAAATCTATAACATTTTTACAATAATATACCTTGTTTAATTCATTGGAACAAATAATTCATTTTTAAATCAATTAGATAAAAGCAATTCATAATTTCATCAGTTGAATACATACTACTATATCGTCGAAATACAATTATTTACTTACCGGTAATGTTCTTCGGGGCCTTGCTAAAATTAGCAGAAATGTTTGAGACAATTTCACCAGCTAATTTTACATTATTCTGAATCAAATTCAACCACTCAGGCGAGATGAATAAAATTTTTGAGTTCGTTGCAACAAAGTTCATAGCAGTTTTTTTTAAATACTTATGACTGATTAAATCAGCTAAAGAAAGTACTTCGAAGACAGTTTTGAAAGATATAACAGATTCCAAGAAAGAAACACATTTTTCCTTCAGTGTCAATACTTGATACTTATCGGCTACTAACAATAATTCTTTAGCCATTGCATAATCGATGTCTTCAACTTTCCCTGTGTAGATAAATTCCAAGAACGATTTCAGTGTGTCTGAATCCACATCAAAAATTTCCACAGTACTAGTCTGAGATTCTATCATATCCTGGTGGAACATTGCGGCAAACACAGCGGAACGAGCTGCTAGAACTGATCTGTGGGCATTCAAAACGTCATCGTCGGTTTTCAATTTCACATCAGAGTAAATTTTGTCATGAAGCATATTTTTAAACTCTCTGAGTAAATTTGGGCAAATATCTGTATTCGAACAATAATTATCCTTTGAGCTAGCAATGGATTCTGATACAACTCTATCTGAAGCAAAAAATTCACATAAAAGAATAAACGGATCGTCTTTTATATATTTCCCAGGGTTAATTAATTTACTTGGAATAAATAATGGGAACTCCCATACTTCATTTTTAACATTGGCTTGAAAAAAGTGATTATCAGTGGCAGACATTGTTACTTTTCCCTTCACAGTTATTATAGACAATTTTCCCTTGATAAACTTGGACGAGACCGAATCTTCCTCGTTCTGATGAATGCTTATTTTCACCTTATCAGCAATCACTCTCAGCTCGAGGATGTAAATTGATTTCGTAGAAAATTCGATCTTGGTACTAGCTTCTTTCTTGGAATTATCTTGGAATTTCAATTCCCAAAGAAACGATGCTTGATCGACACCAATCTCCGTACAGGCTTCGCAATCAGGAAGTCTTTTTTGCGTGTCAGAAGAGAATATGCGACAACGGACGACTAGAATGTCCTCCACTCCGTTTTTTAATTCATTGTTCAATGTAGACAATTTTAAAAACTTAGGAACGCCCAATCTCTCTCCTTTCTCAAAAGTGTGATTCTCTATAGTTCGAGTAGCCAGATCTTTATTACTGTCAGTCATTCCAACGATGGCTAAGTCATAACTTACAGTGTTTACTTCACTGTATAAATCATTATTCTCCTTTCCTAAGAAAAAGGATATGTATCCTTCGTCCTCCTCTCTATATCCTTTGGGATATAACTGTAAATTCCACTGGCTACCTCCAAATTTCTCCGTTGTAAAAACAGGACTAATCAGCTTTTCTCCATTTTTATGAAAACACAGTGAAAAATTTCGTATTTTCCAAACAAAAGTTAATTCTTCAAACATTTTGTTCAGAGAATTCTACTGTAACAAAAAGGCGATATAAAACTGAACACTTTAAGTTTAATCAATGGTTGGTCTGATATTTCAAAGATAACGCATCACGCTTGCTCCAATTTTGATTATTACTCTTTTATGTTGACGCAAATAGATTATAATTCTAAAAAATACTTCTCACCGTTATTTTTTACTCCTCTCATAGTTGTTTTTCTTCTGCGCAACAATCAGTAACTGTGTCTATGTTGGAAAAATCAACGCCCAAAACTTAAATCGAAATCCAAATGTAAATTCGATTTCTTGCAAATCGATACATTGCGCATTGTCATCAATTTAACTTTTGACAGCAATTAACTTTTTTTCATTATTCTTTGACTAGTTATCAATAGAGTAAAATAAAATAAATTATGAAGCATTCTATTAAACTAAGTGCATAACTTTAGGGACTATTTAAGTCAGGGGTTCTTAAAACCGTGAGACATAGCCATTGTCTAAAGGAGAGTGAACAAATTAATGTAAAATAGAAAAGTGTTATTTATAAAACAAGATCGATGGCGTGTGGTTAAAATCACGCGCATCAAAGTTTCATTTTGCATAATAAAAACAGCGCGTTGCTAGGACAACGCAACTTCAATTACAATCCTGACGTTCTATATATATTTGAATATTAAGGAAATAATGGAATTAAATATTTTTCCTCACTAATAATGTATTTAATAAATGGAATCTATCATGCTCATAACTACAAACTTGTAAATAACTGTAGATATTATATGTTATAGTGTCGTCAATTTGTTTTGTATTTATTCATTCAAAATCACATACTATAAAGACGTATACTGTAATCACATACTAATAAGACTAAGCATCTTCCCTTACAACTGGTGACTCGGCCGTGATTACCTCAGCATAGTAAAAATTTTATTTGGATGAAAAAAGTGTTGAGCATTCAAATATCACTATTATTTGATTTAACTTTACATTAAACATGAAGGAAAGCACAAAGGATAATTTAAAATTATCAACTTAAGATAATGTGAATTCAGAAGTAAACAAAGGGACCGTAAATCCACCAATTTTTTGGCCACACAAACCTAAATTATGGTTTTTGCAACTCGAAGCACAGTTTACTAACAGCAATATTCTCGAGATTTAACTAACAAGGGAAACTAGGGAAGTGTGACTCGCCAATTTTGAAATAAACTAGTGGGATGTATGCCTTATGAGGAATAATTTTAAGGGGCAACATTCGTTTCGGCCCATAGAAGGCCCAGTGAGAGGGAAAAAATAATTCAATATAAAGAAAAATCGGTATTTTATTACTTCAATGCAGACTATTAGTTATTGTAATTATCTCATACTCCAATTAATTTTGTGGTACTTTCACGTACTATAAAATGCGTATTTATTGTCAAAATTGATTTCGAAAATTTTATATATCTGTAGTTTTTCAGAAATGCCTGTTAGGTTAATATTAAAAAAAATTGACATCAAATTTCTTTAATTTTTTTTTCAAAAGATTTCCGAAATTAATTGGAGTACATAATTGCAAATCAATTAATTAATTAATAATTAACTAATAATTAATTAGCTAATTAACTTATGAATTAGCAAATAATTAATTACCAATTAATTACAAATTAATTGGAGTATGAGACAATTACAATAACTAATAGTCTGCATTGAAGTAATAAAATACCGTTTCTTCTATATATTGACTTATTTTTTATCTCTCACAGGACCTTCTATGAGCCGAAACGAATCTTGCCCCCTAAAATTATTCCTCATAAGGCATACATCCCACTATTTTATTTCAAAATTGGCGAGTCACACTTCTCTAGTTTCCCTTGTAAGTATAATATTGTCATTATTGTTGCAAACGGTTCTAAAATCTTATCCAGCTTACAGGGTTTATAAATATTAAAGATTGTGTTTGAAATTTTTAAATAAAATACGAAGAATTAACTAGAACAAAACGTTTATTATAAATAAAACAGGTAAGAGCTGACGACAAGCACAAACCATAAACGTTCCATGAAAATTATCAACAAGCCAACTGATGCTACTAACAGCTTTTAGAAATAAAGAAAATAATATCACGGTGGCCAAGAGTATCATTTTCTACATTCTCCCCCCTTGTAAAATAGGAATTTTGCAATCTACATAAATTTAATTTTAAAATTTAACTTTGAAATTCAATCTAAAATTACTAGTTCAAAAGTTGAGTTTTTCAGGAGGGTGAACTTCTCTTCCAAAATGTGTTCTTCGAATGACCCTTTTTTTATTTTATTTTATGACCGCCGTTGAACAGTCGACCCAATTTTTGGGTTTGCGACTACTAATGTTCAACGCCGTAGCCTTGTAATTTTGAACCAATCTAGAAGACAAGGAAACTCCTGGATCGGTACCCCCAGAGGTATTGATTTGTTATGGAAACATGGAGGACTTTGAGACTCGACAGATTTAACGTGCATCAGTCACCATTTAGTACACGGGGAGTCTTCGACCAGTGGGGACCGAACCCACAAACTCTTGGACATGGGCCCGGCACCCCACTGACCAGGCTATCCCGGCCTAGTAGTGACAATTTAATTTTACAGAGATTAACTAAGCAGCGTTACATTACAGACTCAAAGGATGGACATCGACAAAAACAGTACAATATAAAATAGCTAGTTACGTCACAGGTTTTTTTAATTATTTATTTATTTATTTTAAATTTTATTTTTTTTTTATTTTACATTTAACATAAATGGCCATCACGGGTAACTGAAAAGCTCCGGACTCACTGTCTGTCCCCAGGGACTGGTAGCAGGGTCTGTGGTGAGGCGTGTGTGGTGATCAATCACGTTGGCTGCTATTGTGAGCCAGTCCGTGGTTGATTGTGTGGTATGTATGTTTTGTTTAGGTTGTGTTGTGCGTTTTACCTATTTTTATTATGAGAAGTAGTTGAGGCAGTGTTTTGGCGGATCATGATATAGATTAGTGTATTATTGTGTGTGCGTTTATCGACAGTTAAGCCATCTCTTGTTTGTGTGGATCGAGCTTGTGGGCTTTTTTTTTTATTATTATTAGCCTCACGGACAACAGCTTGTGTTGACTGACTGCCTGCCAAATGTTTGCTGGTCAGGGGTGGGGCCAGTGTGTTTTTTTTATGCTGCAGCAATGGTTTGCCTGGAGCCCTGACACCTCATGATTGTATTTGCTGCCAGTATTTTTACAAAGTTATTCTTAGGTTTATGACATATTGTCTGTGATGTTCCTGGTTATGGCTAGAATATTTATTAGTTTTTGCATAATATGCTTGTTTTTGAAACTGTCTGCAAATATCGTTCTGCCTTGTTCATTGGGTTTTCTGAGGTGGTACAATTCAGTTAGAGGGCAGTCATGTAGGTAGTGACTTGGGGTACCTGTGTCATCGCATGGGCATGTGTCTGTGTTTATTCGCTGCATCCTGTGTAAGAATGAGGGGAAGAAGCCATGTCCTGTAAGGAATTGTACTGCTGCTGGATGGCCTATGAGTCGGTCTGTGTCTACTTTAGGATAATATGATTTTGTTGTATAGCCTTTTTCATTTTCGTCCCAGTATGCTTGCCAAAGTTTTTGTGTGATGTTTTTAAGTTTATTTCTTAGGCTCGATGGTGGAAGCAGAACACCGCTGGGAATCCCATGACCTGCTGCTACGTCTTTAGCCGCTAAATCAGCTGCTTCATTACCTATGTTACCTGTGTGTACGCTGCCACCCAGTGTATTTGTGTGTTGCATTTTCTGACTTGGTGTTCTAGTTACCATGAGTTAAAATGAGTAGCAATGTACGAAAAAATTTCCGCCGATAACTCAGTATGCGTTTTCAATAATTCTAGCCATTCACTCGAATTTGAAATTTCAGTTATATGTTTTGCAATATAATCCAATGCACCTTTCTTAATTTTTTCTGGTTTACTTTATCAGCAACAACTATAACATCACATACATCTTCAACAGAAAGAGAGGGTATTAGATATTCAGTAAGAATGAGGGGAAGAAGCCATTCTGGTGTTCTAGTTACCTTTGTGTTGTTGCCACGTGTGGGTCTTTTTGTTTCGTTTTTCTAACAGCGTGTATACTAGCCAGACTGTCTGTGAAAATTGTTGCATCTTTGCAGCTGTGTGTCTCTAACCAATTGATGGCTTCTTTGATGGCTAAAACCTCTGCTTGAAACACTGTGTTTTATTGTTTTAGCGTAAATTTGTATGTATCTGCATGTTGGTTGTTGTGGTAAACACAGAATGCAGCTCCCACTCCATTGTCTGTTTTGGAGCCAACGGTGTAGATTTGTACCGTCGTTGTTTTGCTAGTTCTAGTACTTGTTGGTAGGTTAGTGTATTTATGGCTAGTCCTATGGGCGGGGTTGACCATATGTGTTTTTATCCTTTGTTTATAATCACCCGCTTTTATGTTGTAGTGTGTGTTTTCTTGATTGAATCTTAGTGTGTTAGCTAGTAGTGCTTCTTTTTGGATTTGCAGGTGCAATGGCGGTTTTACTTAGTTCTGTACCCCATGCTGCTGCAGCGTACGTAAAGGCCTTTTCTACCACAGTCTTGTAACAATGCTTGAGCATTTTAGTATTAATGCCCCAGGTCCTTGGGGCTAGTTTTATGAGATTGTTGTGTAGTGTTGTGGCTCTTGTTCTTCGTAATTTAATGTTTTCTAGGTAGTTTAGATGATGATCTAATACTATACCTAGGTATTTGATGTGATTTACTGATTTTATTGTGTTACCGTCTATTTTGATTATTGGTTGTCTCTGCTTGAAAGGATTATTAAAAGTGATGTAGTTGCATTTGTTAATTGACAGTTTTAGGCTTTGTGCCTTACAAAAGTTGCTGAATTATGTCATTGCCTCATTAGCATTTGATTCTAGGTCTTTCCTTGTTTTGCCTGAGACAATGAAGCTGTAGTCATCTACAAAGGCTTGTGTTTTAACATGGTCGTGTTTGAACTGTTGTAAAAAGATATCCGCAATGATAAGCCATAGTAGGGGTCCTAGGCAGGAGCCCTGTGGACAACCCTTGTAGATATCGATTTTAGTTATATCAGTACCACCGTTGAACTCAACTGACCTGTGTAAGAGGTAACTGTTGATTATGTTTGTGAGCTGAGTTGGACAGTTTATAGAATTTAATCTGTGTATTATGTGTGTCCACTGTATAGAGTCAAAGGCTCCCTTGATGTCGACCAATATTAGGGATTTATAGTATTGCCGTTTAAAATTTTTATTCTTTTTGGCTGTTTTGGCCTCACTAATCGAATGACCCTTGTAATATTTTTTCCACACTGAATCTGGGATGCGTTATTGT